GTTTTGTTGTATTCACTGCCTTAAAAAGAGTAGGCACATCTGGCTGTGGAAGTACAAGTTTCACCACTTGTTGCACACACACACACATATTGGCAAACCGCCACATCTTCATCCAAGCTCATCACAGTCCCCTGAAGAGGGAGCTGTTGTTTTATTTGTGCCTCCATTCCCACAGAGGGTTAACACAGTCTTATCCCTACTTCTAATTTTAACTTCTTTAGTTTCTAATCTGTCATTTCCAACATATGTTCATGATTTTCCCTGCAGTCGGGCAGTGATCTGCAGGTCTTTGTGAGACGGCGAATAGCCCGAATCAACTTCTTTTGTGTTTTTGCTTTATGTTCTCTTCAGCCCATTAATCAGTCTAAGCTCGTCTAATAATATAAGGTGAATAATTAAAAGAAAAAAGATAGGCTTAAGGCTTGGTTTTGTTCTATGTGGGAGTGGGCACATATGGGGAAAATTCTGCCCTCAAGCCTTTCCGTCAGAGTCGCTCTCGCTGACTTGTTCGGTGTTGAAAGAATATGAAAGTCTTCTTAACCTAACCAAGCTGTTAGGTGTGTAAACTGCATCAAAACACAACAAAAACTAAAGCGAGTCTTCACATTGTGGACTGTGTGTATTTTGAGACCTGCCTGATCTTCCTGTTGGTTTGGCGTTGCACCTTATTGGTTCAAGAAGCTTGCAGACTCCAGCTCCAGTGAGAGCGCAGAAAGGTGCATATTTCACTTGCTTTATTGGATTGTCCTTACAGATTTTCCAATATGTGATTGCACACAGTCTGTTTGACATTTTACATTTTTAAAAACATTGTTAGTATTTTAAAAACATACAGACCAAAATAATTAGATTTTATAATTTAGAAAATGACAGCAGCTTATTTATTTATGTTTATAAAAATTTATACACAGCCACAGTTGTGTTATCTTTTGTGCTGTCTTTCTATTTTTAATGAAAACTTTATTTTCTTTAGCACTACCGCATGCATTTAAATTTAGAGCTGAGGGCAGGAAGGGGTAACGAAAACAAAAAGCAGCGTGCAGGTTTATAATTACTCTGCTGCCTTTAAAATAAAGTGTGATACTGTAAGTGTCTTTATAATCTTATAATCTCATGGGTCTGTTGTCAGTGGACAGTGATGTACTCTCTTATTTAGTTTCTAATATAAATACCAGCCAAAGTCACTAAAATCACTTTTCCTCCTCATCCTGATGCTCTGGTTGAACTTCAGCAGATCTCATTGGCATCAGTATGTTGAGTTGCTGTCATGTGATTGGCTGATTGGGTTTGTGTATTGAGTGTATGTAAATGTGAAATCATCTTGTGGGAGGGTTGTCCATGAACAGTGACATATTTGCATTTTTAGAGTAAAAGAGCTCGGGGGCAGAGAGGTAATTCGATTTGGTAACGCTGCTTGAACAGAAGTATCGGTTAAAGCGTCCGCGGCCTTTGTTCAGGTCATTTTAAAAAAACAAAACAAAAAAAAACAACCTTATCAGTCTCTAAAGGTTTAGCAGCATTAACAGCATCTATAGTGTAAACTCATTTTCCATTTATGAATAGCCAGCAGCAAGATAAAATTACATGGATCCATTTCATGTAATCTGCATTAGTAAACAAGCCCTTTACCTCCTCTCTAGTTTTCTGTTGATGAAGCTATACATCCAAGATAATGTTCCCTTTAGGAAGCTCCAGGGATCGGATATGAGAAGATGTTTTATTACAAATAAAGTGAAGTAAGAATATTAAAGCGCACAGAGACGCACACAAACATGCCAGGGTATAAAGTTCATTTCTCAGAATTCACTTACCGATCCATTAACCATCCCACCCTGTCTCCTGTGTCACATGTATCATGTGTTTTAACGGGCCTCTCTCTAACACACACACACACACGCGTGCATGCATGCTCTCCCCGTGTGTTTAATTACAGCCATAATAAGCACTTGGATGGAAACTAAGTTTGATAAGGCCACTAATGACAAATGCGATTTGGGAAATTCCCTTTTCCCGCTCTCTCAGCTTCGTCCTCGTCATCTCATACATCACATCTTAATTATGAGTCTTCCTAATGTGTTTTCCTGGGATTTACTCTTTCATATTTCAAGATTGACAAAGCGCCCAGCAATTACTGTCTATCGTTGTTACCGTGGATATAATATCTACAGTCACATGATGGCCTCCCAAGGTGACCAGGAAGTGGGTTTTTCTAATGGCGATGTTGGGTGGCTGGTTGGGGGAGATGGGGGGGGGGGGGGGGTCAGGGGTAAAAGTGGCATTTGTGCGTGCAGCTCCTTTTCTTGATTTATGTGGAGGCTGTAATGACATCATATTCAACAGCCGAAAGGGTAATAAATTAGATATCAGCTAACGGAGGCTGAGGATCTTCCTTTGTTAGCGTGCTCCTGTTCTCTGCTCACATCGCTCTTTTCTTTTCCCCTGTGAAGTAAATACGCTTTTAATTACTTTCACATAAATTTTAAAGTGTCGTTTATTCACAGCGAAACTACTGACAAGAAGATGCTGGCATTAAAGAGTCTCTCTACAACGTAAACCTGTCGTTGCATTTATATTTAACTTCTTTTCTTCTTTTTCCAATGAAAAGTCACAAAATGTCTTTTAAATAAAGCTTCACCTGTTTTACATTTGTGAAAACTGCTCCTCAGATCTGATCAGTAAAAGTTTTTTTTATCAGAATTGTGTACATTCGACCCAGTGCTGGATCCATTTTAGGGAAATGACTGATTGCAAAAGTCCCTTGAAAGTCTCTTTTCTTAGAAAAAGCTCTGGAAATCCCCTTTAGCTCTGTTAGCTTTTTGAACTTGTAGCTGCTAACAGGCTCTCGCTCGGCTCTGGCAGCCAAAAATAAAAACTTCACTTCATCTGCAGTCACAGCACATCCAGGATTTTCTGGCAGCATTATAATAGTAATCATCATTTACGAAAGGTCTGATGCACATATAATGCACATATTTCGGTCAGGAAAGGTAACACACACTCCCTTAGAGATTTGCCTGGCAACCACTGGTCACTATGGAAAGCATTCCCTGACCGGAGGCAGGAGGTTGCTGACAGTCACTGTGAAGTAGATTGCTAAAGTCCTGGTCGCGCCGTCCTAGAGACCACCTGTCGCTGGTGAAGTTGCTGCCAGCATGAAATTGGTCATAAGAAGGAATACCACGCTGGAACGAAATCCTCCCCACAATCGCTTCAGTCAGGAGTAGATGGTGTGCAAGAAAGACTGCAAATGCTTGCAAACTAGTCACTCAGCTTCAGTGAACTTTGAAAAGGTGTGACGCAAACCAGAAACTGTGAACGCTCACCTTCAAAGTAAAAGCTGCATCTTTTGCTGAGGCATAGCTTTAAAAGTTTTAAGGTGAACGTTCTCCGTTTCCAGTTCGTTTCACACTTTTTTACTAAAGCTCAGAGAGTAAATGGCGAGTCTTTGCCGATCACTTGGTGTTTTCAATGCAAACCCTTGGCGACCGTGTCAATCTGCTAGGGACCAAAGAGCTCACAAGGAACTTTTTGGCGCTGCACCCTCACTGTGACCACTTTCACCTGGTAACAGGGAGCAGCCTCCAGCAAACACTCACCAACCTGTCAGGACATACACGTTTCCCTACCCTGACTGGTCTCTAGGCCAGTGTGGCTGACACATTGCTGATCGATCACACTTCCTCTCTTGTTGCTTCCCAGAGGCCCACTCTGAGTCAGCAAGAACGCTGTTCTGGGCAATGAAACCCGCTTTTAATTAACATTTAGTTACCGTTTCACCTGAGACCGCAGATTTACTTATTACCTTCCAGCAAGCATTCCCGGTAGAGATCATCTTTATGTGTTTGAGTGTTTTCACCGCTGCATGGACGTGACCCTGTCAGTGGCTCATCAGCGTGCAGTCATTAAACAGCTGCACTCTTCTTTTAGCAAATAACCAGTCGTCTTTCTCCGTGTATAAACATTTTAGGGGAGCTGTCAATTATCCAAACACTGACCTAAAATGTCTTTCTCCTGTTCCTGCTGCCAAAGCAGCAAAACCGCACCTTGTTCTTCTCTGCAGGCCGGTTCCACTCTGGAAAACTTTTAGCAGATAAAGCTAGACTCACATTTTCTTTCCTCTCTGTATCTACACACAAAACGGATGCATTTAGTAACCTTAAGTTTCAATGTCAGCTGTGTTTATTGGCTTCTTAAACTGAGTCAACTTGAAACCGAGCGTGTGCGCCTCAAAACCCTTCCAAAAATAAACACTGAGAACGACATCTAGCCTTTGACTGTGGTATTCAGCGGTGGGTGTGACAGCGGTGCTTTGTTCTGTCCATTAGAAGAGGCGGTGAATGTTATTACATGTCCCCGCTCTCTCATTTTTCCTTCCTGCCCTGTTGTTTTATGTTTTTTATCAGTAGGATCGTGCACAAAGCAGAATACTGCAACACTGCAGAGACGATCAATATTGAATTTTTTTATGTGACTTCCTCGTAATTCTTCATTATTATTATTTTTTTGCATGCATCAGTAATGATGCTGGGTGTTGTTGTTATTGTTGTTGTTGTTTTTTAACAACAGGGGTGAAGTGTGTCATCTCTGCAGCCTGCAACATCCTGTGCAGTAAATCAGTTTCCTAGTTTCTATTTGTATTTTATTCTGTTAGCTGTTTATTTTTCTTAATGGTGTCTGGGTGATTGCATCAGTCAAACAAAAAAACCCAACTTGAATGTAATTAGCAGTTTTTGCTGCAGTCATCGCAGCAGCATGGAAACCTCAACATCTGCTTTCCCTCTAAAAACACCGGGCCGAGCAGCGAAGAAGACAAACACATGCTGAGCTCTCGAGCTTGCTGTAAATGGTAATGTGCCTGTAGTGTGTTTATTGTTATCAGTTTTAAAAAGAAAAAAGTGTAATAGTCTGGACTTATTTGTGAAGAAGAGAGTTATCAGGTCTTTCTCTTTAACTGATTGGAAGCAGCTCAGTAAAGTTTTCTTTTGTTTCTGTTTCCACAGGCGGTCGGAGGAGGAAGTGGATATGGACAAAGTGACGGCCGCTATGGTGCTGACGAGCCTCTCTACCAGCCCGCTGGTGAGGAGCCCACCTGTGAGAGTCAGTGGTAAGCATCATTAGTACTAAATAAACAGCCGTAAATAAATATTTCCTTTTTATGCGTCACTTGGCTATTTTTCTAATAACATAGCAGAAGTTTTATGAAAAGCGAACTAAAACAAGTCGCTGAGCCAATAATTTGTGTGTTTTCCTGTACGCTGTGTTTCATTCCCTCACAGCTGTTATCTTGTGAATGCATGTGGAAGCTTAAGGTTGATAAATTACTGCCACCTGCTGTGCTGTAGGATCATCTCATCAATGAGCTGTGGAAATCCAAAGAAAAGCACAATGAGTCTGGATCTCTGCCACTCGGCAAAGTGGCGGAAGTCCAAAATGCCCCATAACTGCAATCTCGTGAAACCATTTAGGCGGTCTTTGTAACCAGCCTGCTGTCCTTCCAGCCGAGCAGACGCGCAGCCAACCACCGTGCACGTGGTGTCACTGTCGTACGTCATGCACAGATGAACAAACTGGGCTTTAAATGCTAACTGTACCCTTTTTATCTAAATGTAGTCATGTAGTTTGAGATCACACAGCGTGCACGGAACACAGAGCACTGCTGATATCTCTCAAATGAACCAGTAGTCTTGTTGTTCTGACCACTCAGAGCCTGTGCTGCTGCTGAGCCACATCCTCTTTTATGTTAAATGTTCTGCCGAAGAAACGAGTGAAGAGAGAAGAGAGAGGCACCCTGCCAGGAAGCAGCTTCACTAAACCAAACTGGGTCTCTGTCTCTCTCACACACACATGTACAATCACTGCAAAGTTTTCCCCTGCTTCACTAAGTGAAATGCCTTTTGTGGCTGATATTCAAAAGAAACTCTTCTTTGATCTTAAAAAAAAGGAAGACCTTGGAAGTGTCTCGGTGGAATCACACAACAGGAGAGTAACCTTTATTTTCTTGTGTCATAGTGAAGACTGCTTCTGGGAGGCTCTTTCTTTGTGAAGTGCAAATATAGCTGTCTGAGCCTAATTGGATGTCTTGATCTCATCCTTTGTTGTGTTTGTAGCATTTACAGATATAACTAAAGAAGTTTGAGCTTCTGTTAGATAAACTCTCCATCTCCTGTTCCTGTGTGTCTTCAGAGGGTCTGAGTGGATCGTGGAAAGACAACGGCTCGGCCGGACCCTTCACCCCATCGAGCAACAGCTCCTCGGGGGGCTACTGGAGCTGGTCTGCTCCGAGCGATCAGTCCAACCCCTCCACACCATCCCCACCGCTCTCTGCAGACAGCTTCAAGCCCTTCCGTGTACCCAGCCTGGGAGGGGTGGGGCCTGGCCCCGCAGGACCTGAAGACCCCATTCTGGATGAGCAGGACGGGAGCAGCCTGCTCTTTGATGAGCCCATCCCTCGCAAGCGCAAGGTGAATACCGTTTAGCTGGGTAAAAATCCTGTGTGGGTTCTCCGGATACTCCGGCTTCAGTCCAAAGACATGAGTTTAGTGGGGTTTGGTTAATTGGTGATTCTAGATTATCCATGTGAATGTGAGTCTGAATGGTCGTCTGTCTCTGTGTTAGCCCTGTGACAGACTGGCGACCTGTCCAGGGTGTACCCTGCCTCTCGCCTTGTGATCTTGATGCGCTTCCCCTGTCTGACACAGATGGTCTTTTTAAGGCACATTTCTTTTAAAGAGAGGGTGGAGGAGGGTGAGGCCACTGAGGTGATCATATTAGCTATATCCTTACTCAATGACAGAGCCAAGAGTAGGACAAAAAACACATGAAACAGAGTTTTTATAGCAGACTGAGCCGACTCCCTGTGAGGGATTGCTTGTACATGCGTTGACCTCGTTATTTGAAATCCTTAAAGCGAGTATCACTGCTGTACGGGGAAAATCATATACACAGAAAACAAGGACGAGCATCAAATGCCCCTTCAAAATGATGAAAACCACTGCACGCTGTGTTTTCCCAACACGATTTTTCGAGTCAGTTGAATTTATGCTAATATCATCTCGATGGTTCTGTAAATTTAGCAGAAAAGAGACGAAGCCAATAAAGATTTGAGCCAAACTCAATGGTTAAACTTAATTTTTGTTAGTGTGTGTTTTTAGACTCAAAATACTGTTGAAGAAATTTAACTGTGCAAAAGCAGTTACGCTTCATGGATAACAATCAGCAGCCAAGTTACCTGGTAAACATCTGCCATCAATGCAGCATCAAGAGAAATAAGAATGACTGTCAATCAGGGAGTTATCAGCACTGGATTATTTCTGATACAACCATATTAACATGGTAGCAGTTTTTCATTGTTAAACATCGGCACTGTTAGTAGTTAATCATCACGGGGTTAAGGGAAGGAGATATGATGATATGTTTCCCAGGTGCTTTTGTCCCACTTGTGGCTTCACTTTTATTACCGCGTGGTGCATTAAAAGCTTTTTTTGAAGGAAACAGTCGCACTGATCCTGATAGCAGGCATATCTGGAGGTAAGAATAAAGGTCGTGAACTTGTCTTTGAGATCCCGCCACATGTACATGAGCTGGTTGATTTCTCTTCTGCAATATTAACCTGTGAGGTTACTGATGTAATTTAGTTTCTGACTGATAGGCGGAGAGGGAAATTGGACAGGAAAGGACACAAAGCCTTTTTTGCTCCGGTCTTGAGTTTCGTGTCACGCGTCCTGGCCACACACACACTTTCTTTCACACTAATCATTTCACCTCGTCTCATCACTACGCGCCACTGACAGCTCATCACATCTACACCACGCTGTCACTCGTTATTTTGTCCGACGTATATTGCGTCACTCTCTCTCTCTCTCTGCCTTCATCCCAGGGCTCTCCTCTGCTTATCGGCGCTCCTGTGTGCCAGTTTGCCGACGGTATCATCCATCTCCCCCTCCTTTCATTCTTTCCTCTCCCCTGCTCTCGCCTCTGTTTTCTCCCCTCTCTCTTCCGTTCTCGCTGCTTGAGTGTGTCCTCCCCAGACATTTGTCCTTAATAATTACTTCCTCAGCCTTCACGTGTAGCTCCTCTCAAAAACACAGTAATGATTTGAATTCCCTCAACGGCAAACAGAAAAGATTCTGCTGGCCCTCTAAAAAAAAAGAAAAGAAAAGGGGGGGGAAATCGATAGACTCTTTAGTGAGCTCCACGTTGGCGCAGTGTACTCGGATAATTGGGAAGATCACAAAGAAGGGCGTGGAGGGAGGAGAAAGAGAGGGAGAAACGGGAAGCGAGATGAAGGTTGTGGATGAAAAATTAAAGAGTGACTAACAGGAATTACATGAAAAAGGAAGAGAGCGCAGACGGAGGCTTGAACAGCGTCTCCGAAAGCTCCTATAATGTTGGCTTAACAAGTCGCACTCACACAATCTATACGTGCAGATGCCAGGCTTCCTCGTGAACTTATCTACATGCTACTCGCGTGCTCTTGTTTTTCTCCTGGCAGCGCCGCACCGTTTGAGGCTCCCCATTTAATTAACTGTGAAATGTTGCTTTAAAGGGGCGCACACGCTCGCCAACACACAAAATCGGCTTTTGTTACGCAAAGACAAAACAATGCAATCGGGGAAGGGGGGCACGTGATTGCTGTGTGTATGTGTGAGAGTGTTTCTGAAAGAGGGAAAATTAGAAATAAAACATGTTGTCAAAGTTAAATCAGCCTGCTTAACAATAGCTTGACAGACGTGGCTATAAGACCGTTTATAATAGCGAGAGTGCAGGAGGGCAGGGAGGAAGTTCACGGGACTCTTTTACTCCATGAAAACAATACACGGTCTCTGTAGGACGCCGGTGGTTTAATTACATTAGGCAGATCAGAGACACTGGAGCATCACCGCCATTGTGTCCACGGTAACACCAGAGATAGATGCTGCATTAAAGCTGTGTGTCTATTTTGTTTTCCTCCCTGGTTTTAATCTACATCATTTCAAAGTGACACTTTATAGTGTAACGCAAAGACTTTAAATATGGTATCATAAACTGATCACTCTGAAGGAGACTGCATTTTTAAAGTCCTTTAAATCCTTTAAATTCCCAACGTAAACATGGCATATCTGCATTTTAATCTAGGACAGGTATGACGTTGAACAATGAATACTAGCAGGGTGTTAGTGAGGCAGTGCAGCAGCATGTTTAATCTGAGAAATTTCATTTATCTCCATATATCGCCTTAATTTTGTAAATTATGGTTATTTTACTCTAAAAACAGCCCCTACATCATAATGTTGTACTTTCTATGTATGTGTTTGTTCGTTTAAAATAAAATGGCATGTGATGTGCAAAAAAAGAGCAAGTTGCAATTTAAATTTTACACTTTTTAAATGGAAATAATAGTATGTATATATATATATATATGATAACCAGTGGATATATTTTTTTGTACCTACTTTGCTACCTGAGCGAATTTTCATTTCTGTGCAGTCTTAAACGAACTGTAATGTTATCAGTGAGTTTATACTGTGCATTGTCCATTTGATTAGGTACACCTGCTCGTTAATGAAAATGAGAGTTTTTCTATAACCTAAAAAACATATTTTTCTGTAACCTTTATCTGAACATGTCTGTGGTGCAGATAACCTTTTTCCGTGTTAATGGCAGATATTAAAAAACACATCCTTCAGAGAAAAGAAGCTTTCATGCGTACGATTTCTTGTTATGTACCCTGCAGTTGTTGCGTGTGACTCTTTGAAGTTGGCATCAGAGCGCCAGCGAAACACTGATGTGCTGTGTGTCTCCTGCAGAACTCCATGAAGGTGATGTTCAAGTGCCTGTGGAAGAACTGTGGCAAGGTGCTGAGTACTGCCGCTGGCATTCAGAGACACATCCGCACCATCCACCTGGGGTAAGACACAGACGGTCTGCATACACACCTGAGATAAAGTCCACTCGAAGCCTCAAAAACGGCTCTGCTGCTCATATCCTGCCTCTGGTTGATGACTTACGGGTTATCAGCATAGTAATATGTCCCAGTGATACTGGATAGATGGCTAACCTGACCTTTAGGTGGAGATTTACATTCATGATGTATTTCTGTCTGTCCTGCCCCTGCGCTTGTCTCCCAGTCGTAACTGTGACTCAGACCTCAGCGACGGTGAGGAGGACTTCTACTACACGGAGATTAAGCTGAACACGGACTCGGTGGCCGACGGGCTGAGTAGCCTGTCCCCAGCTTCGCCCTCTGTCCTGTCTCCCCCGCCTCCTCCCCCGTCTCCTCTCCCCTCGGTCAGCCAGCTGCCAGACTCCCATAAACCGACTCAACCCTCTGACACCAAGGAGCCCCACGCCGGCGGCACCACGCCGCTCAGCCGCTCTGCACCCAGCGCTCTCTACCTCATCCACACAGACCATGCCTACCAGGTGATGAAGACTTATGTGCTCTGTATACGTCCCTCAGTTTCTCACACATTACTATCGAGGTCCTTGTTATGCTGACGATGTGTCACAGTGTTCGTAAACACACTAAAGATCTCGCAGCGACTTGTGGTCCCTCCCTCCCTATAGCAGCTGTGCTAACAGTTGCAGTCTATCAACACACAAGCAGCAGGTTTGAATAATTAATTAAAGGTTGAAAAATGACACAATTTATCTATTTTAGCCTCGGTTTTCAGATTATTGTTTGAAGAATAACCGCCATTAGCTTTCCATTAATATCTGTGCATCTAATATTAATGCAGAGCTGCACGCTTGAGGTCTGACATGAGTAGTTATGTTTCTGATAAAGGCCAAAAATCTGCCTTTATTCTTTGAATAAAGTATATTTATCCGACCATTAAAATCTACCTCACCTAGAAAATAACAAAATCAAGAGGTTTTTTTTTTTTATTATTATCAAAAAAATTTAATAGAAAGAGAAATCTGACCAAAAAAAAGAAACCTCCTCTGGGTAAACTCGGTGTCAGAAAAGATGGAAAAGTCCCATCTCCAGCCTGCAGTATACACATGTAAAGGACAGGTGTAGTTTCTGGGTAAAAAAAAGGGAAGTCATTCACCTGCTTTCTTTCTAATGGCCAGCAGGGGGAGACTCCCCTGGTTCAGTTGATACTAAGTCTATGGGGAACAGACCCTCAGCTCTGTTGGTTGTGACATCATTAACACTTTTCTGATTAGTTTATGGTCTTGAGCACAAAATGATAATTTTATAAATTATGGCTTTAATTGGAAGCAAAAAAAGAGATTAAAGCAAGGTATGCTTCAGGGCGCTTGATCATTAAATCGAGTTTCAAAGCAGAAAAAAATGTTCAGCTTGAGGCTTCGTAAGAGGATTTCACTAACCACTGTCTGACATCCCAATACAAAGAAGCTCTGCATCAATTAACAAATACTAAAAGAAATAAAAGTATTCCAATATGCTGAATTAAAATAAAAGTTAAAAATAGTGACCTTTGACCTCTGCCTTCAGGCCACGGCTCCAGTGTCCATCCCGTCCAGCAGCACCAACAACTCGGCCGGCTCGGCGTCCACCAGCTTCACTCCCACCAACAGCTCCAGTTTCAGCATCTCTTGGCAGTCGCCACCCGTCACTTTCACCGGGACCACGGTGAGAAAGCCTGGCTCAGCCTTTGCTTTCACGCAGCTCGTCTTTCTCTTATTCATGATCTGCTCTCGTTCTCCAGGTGTCTCCCAGTAAAAGCCAAGGATTTGGTGACCAACGTTCCCAGACCATTGCAGTGCTTTCGTCCCCTCCCAGAGCCACCGCTGCCCTCAGGTACTGGACTCTCACAGAGTCTCACCTTATGACTGGTTATAGCTTCAGTTAAAGGTCGAATTAAACCTTTCTCTTTCAGCTTGTTTGGTGCAACCTGAAAAATGGAATAAGGCTCTGATATGTGTTTATCTATCTCTGCAGTCAGTGGCGTAATTAAAAAGAACCAGTTAGCTTAGCACAATGGTGGGACTGGGAGGAGACAGATGTCATGTTTTTCCTTAGCAAAAAGGAAATTTCTTCCAACATATGGACGCACCTCAAAAAATTAGATTGTAAAAAGTTGAATATGTTCCATCAGTTATTTAAGAAAGTGAAATTTTAATCTATTTTAAACTCATTACATAGAAACCATCATGCTTCAGCATTTCTGTTTTAACTTTGATAATTGTGGCCTACAGCTAAAAAATAAACATATCTCACGTTATTAGAATATTTCATTTCGAGTTTGAGTAAACTGCTATGAACACGGTTTAAATAGTGTGTGCCTGTCAGTCTAGTGCAGCGAACACAGCCACAATCATGGGGAAGACTACATGCTTTACGGTCCTCCAGATGACGATCCTCTACGATCATCTACAGCCCACACAGGGAGAGTGAGCCGCAGAAGGTCACTGCTGTAAAGGCTGGCTGTTTGCAGACAGCTGTAGTGGAGGATTGGAGTACTGTGGGGAGGACTTGGGACCTCCCCACAGTACCAAAACTGCCAAATATTTTGCTGACCGTGTTATTGCTGTACCTGATTGGCCATTGACCTGAACCCCACAGAGGAACTATGCGCTGTTGTCAGGAAGAAGATACACACAAGCTGAGACAGCAACTTCATCTGCAAACATGTGGAACATGTCAGATAGATTTGTGTTCGTGTTAACCTCTAACATGTTGTACTCTTCATGGTTTTCTGGTTTTGGTTTTCAAATGTATGCTTTTATGGCGGACAAAGTTTCAAATAGTGAGGTCAGTGTAAACACGAGTAATCTCTGTGAGCTGAAAACTCGTGATTGCTCTTTTTGCTCGGTTATGACATCTTAGATGATGTCCCTAAGTAGCTCCACCCTCCTGCGGCTTTGAGGGGCAACCAGTGAGAAAAAAGCTTTCTTCCAGGGAGGCTGGCCTTAAAGGGAGAAGAGCTAATCAGTTAGTTGCAGTGGGCATCTGGGCAAGACGAATAAGAGTCCAGGAATAATAACGCCCAGTGTTATGAGCATTGTGCTGTTGTTTGTTATGTCGTTAATATATAACAGCTTCATGTGCTGTTGGTCTTCATCTCTCCTCCAGTCGGAAGGTGCGTGGCGAGGGGAAGAAGTGCCGTAAGGTGTACGGGATGGAGAACCGCGACATGTGGTGCACCGCGTGCCGCTGGAAGAAGGCCTGCCAGAGATTCACTGACTGATCGTCCCCCGCAGCTCGCCAGACAAACAAGCCATGCAGTTTTCCAGCTGAGGAAAACAAGGGGAAAAGGGGGGGGCGTCATCCTGCATGCATTCGGTTTTCTTCAGATCAACATCGCAACTGTCTGTCAGCTATGGCCCCGCCCTCGTTCTCCGGCTCCGTCCCACACCCCACCCAACCTCATCAGCTCCACTGAACCATTCCAGCTGCGGAAGCAACCGCAGGACGGCAGAGTCACCTTTCACATCGCCGTCCGGGATTCCCAGCGTGGGCTCGCCATTCCCTTCTTTCCCAGTTTTTGGGAAAACCTCGGTGCAGCTAAACAGTGTAAAGAAAAAAAAAAAGATTTCTGCAGTTTTTTTGTTTTCTTTTTTTAATGTTGGGTTCAGTGTTGCATCTTTCTATGTTTTGTACAGCTCTGGTTTTTAAATGAAAGTCTTGTCAAAGAAGGGGGTTGAGAAAAAGGCCAAATGATTTTTTTTTTTTTAAGTGTGTGTTTTCTCAAAAGATTAGAGTAAAAAACACTTTTTTATTCAAAAGAAGAAAGGAACTCTCTGAAGTCCGTTTGAAGAAAGCTATGAAAAAGCACGTGGAGGTAAAGCTCGCAGTTTTTGTTCTTCCTTCGACTTGTTCGTCCCTTTGTATCCAATTCTGGACTTGAGGTGATCTTTTATCACGGTCCCTCACGCCTCCTGGACAGCACCGAGGGAATGCATGCGTGGCATAGCCGGGAAGGGGTGGTGGACGGTCGGAAAGGAGGAGGAAGAGACACACACGTACACAAACACACACGAGATGAATGACCAATGCAAAAAAAGAAAGAGAAAAAAAAAAAAGAACAAATAAAGCAGAAGATCCAACTTCCAGTCAGGGAAAGCAGATGGACCATACGAGTGATCTACACACAAACACGGTTTCTTCTCACACAATCAAAAGCAGATCACGTCGACTTGTATGCGTTGTTTCTTTGCTTTACCAGGGATGTGATTCTGAAGAGAGCAAAACAAACCAGCAGCTTAAAGTGTATGCAGCACTATCTCAACAGCTTCTATCTTTCATGACAACTTTGCAACCAAAAACTCCAAAAACTTTATCCTGTCCTTCACGTTTTGTTTTGGGGTTTTTTTGGTTAAGGTGCCATGTTTAGTGTAGTCGGTGTCATTTATTTCTTTTTCTTTTTTTTGGTGAAACTAAGACTGTTTACCTACCTGCTACTACAATGTGTGTTAAAGACCCTCCTCATAGCACTGGAAGTCAGCAGCAACGTTCAATGCAGTCGCCCTCCTGCACCAACTTTTACTCCAACAAATTAAGTTTGTTTACATCTGCCACAAAGGCGTCAACCGATGACCTGATATCCAAAAGAAGGGAGGGCTGAAAACCCAAAGTGAGATACTTTTTGTGTAACACAGTTCCTTTGCGGTCCCTTTTAAAAGCTGGAAGTGTTTCCGCGTCATCTCCTGACTGGACGTTACAGAAAGAGTAATAATATTTGTCCGCCCGCTTGCGGCTGCTCCCCCTTAAATTCTCTGCAGCAAGCTTTTGTTTTCATTTTGGGAGAGCAAAGCGGCACTTAATTAAGTCACTCCTTTGGCGTTTAACTTAATTCACTCAGAACGCAAAGCTTTGGCTCACAAGAGTCTGTGTGATTGGCTGCTGAGGTGAGAGCAGGTTGAAAAGCTTCCTTTCTTCCGCCTCAGAGCCAGGAAGTAGAATCACGAGGCCCGAGCGTTTACAAACGCGGACCAACTCTTTCCATCTGCTTTCTAAGATCGTCCTGAAAGCCACGACCTTTTTTGGGAGGGTTTCTGTCAAACACACTCTCTCACACGCACACTCGCGCACAAACAGGCTTCATCAGAGTTTCTAAAAACCAACACCAGCTGATAAACTCACACACGCTCGTCCAGTTTAAGCGCCTGAAAGTCGTGGCGCTCTCTTACTTTTGATCAGCTGTTTCTAGTTTGTTCCTGTATCCTGTATATATTTGTTTTCCTTTTACGCTCCTTTTTTGTTTTAATGACCGCCAACCTCATGTTACTGTTTAAGTCAAATCTATTGTCTGGAAAGAAACAGTTGCATTCAAAACTAAAAACATGAAACTAATTTGTTTTTTTGTTATTTTAATTTTCATACATATGAATATACACATCCATATATATATATATATGTATATGTATATATGAAGTGTTTATGATTTTTGTTTTCATGTTCTGCTGAGGGAGACTCTTATGTGGCGTCATCGGCTTCATAAACTAAGCTCGTTAGGCTCTTTTGAGTGAGCGTGACCCTCTCGTTCCCGCCTGGAGCTCCTTCACGTTAACGCTCTCCACTGCCGGCGCTGCGTCAAAAACTGCAGTTGATTAAAACCTTTATCATATTTCCAATTCTGCCACTCCGCCACCCCCATCGTTCCCCGCCCGTGTCACGCAGGCCCGCCTGCAATTAGTTTGATTGACACCTCAGTGTGTTTGCGCTCGCTGGCTCTTGCGTGTGAACTCTGAAGGAGCCCCGGGCACAGCGCGCGCGTGTGTGTGAGGGGGGGCTGAAGCTCGGTGCTCCTGCACTCCCCTGAAGCGTCTAACGGCCCGTGGCGTTTCTCTGTCTCGTCCACTCCTGATTTGCCCGCACTGGGGTTTCAGGATGTTTTAGTTGAGGCTGAACGGGGCTTCTCCGTCTCAGCGTCTGGATCGTTTTCCTCCACTGATGTTTAAAATATATTTATATATATTTGGCAGCCAATCAGATTCAGTCAGGGTCCTGTCCAGAAACGAGTCCCTTCAGTTGTTCAGATCATTCAGAGCACTGGATAATTACAGTGGCAGCATTTCCAGGCAGCTAGTTTTTCCTCTCTCTGGGTTGTCGAGCCGATCTCACGGTTGACAATAAGATTTGGCCAAAATAAGCTCATCTCACTCCCTCGCTTAGAGGTGATCCAAAAAAAATTACCTCAAAGATATATTTGCTGCCATATTTCTGAAACCCGTCCATGTCCTCTTGGATCGTGGGGAAGCTCGATGGGATTTGTTTTGTGGACCGTGGCCTGATCTGAGAACATCTCGATGGCCCAAAGATGGCCTCGTCGTGACGGTGCTTTCAGAGACACTCTGCCAGGGTTTGTCTTTGCATGCGTCCTGGTGCCCTCGGCGGAGGGAGAAACAGAGGTGCTAAACACTCAACGCAGTGCTGTTTCTCCATTAACTCCATTTTGTAAACATTGTTTTGCTGTAGAACATGAAAATAAAAATAAAATAAAAAAAACCCACCCAAAAAACAAACAAACAAAAATACACGGTTGTTTTTTTAAAATGCTTTTATTTTGGTGACTTCTATTGATGACTGTTTCCTCGCGTCTGCGGCTCAGCCCTGTGAATAGATGGAAAACACCGGCAGAATATTAAATCGGCTTATTTTCTATTTCACATTGAATCTGAACTCTTATGTTCAAGCTTGGAAGTTATTTTCTGTAACAACAAAGAGCTTCAGAATAACAGCTGATGAAAATCGAATCACAGTCCATGTACTCACTGGTCCTTGAGCTTTCAGGCTTCATCAGCAGGTTCGGTTTTCATTGAACTGCAGATCTTTTCAGCTGTGCAGTCTCGGTCTGCGCGAGTCTGAGCTTCAAAACATACTCAAAAGAATCAAATATTCACCGTGCAGGAGGGCTTGTTTCATAACAGTCTAATAATTGGTTCATTAATAATCACCGCAGCTGGTAAAATTAGGACTATGGGAACTAAGTTACATACTTATGGGTTGTAAAGTAGCTTAAAATGGGTTGTTGTGTTCTTTTCTTATTTTTGTCACATATACTGTTGCAGTTATACTCATATTAAAATAATCAGACTAACAAATGTGATCCCAGCCAACCGGAAACATCTGCTTCAGAAGACCCGCTGTTCAAAACTGCTGCTTGTGAGGGGCAGCCAATCGGTAGAAAGCTGGCTAAAAATGAAAGGGGCTGAACTCATCAGGCTTGTACTGTAGCCCATAATATAAATAAGGATTATTTCAAACTGTGAGTCATGCAAAGCTACTCTAGCAGAACCAGAGAATAAAAGGCTCATTATAGGAAAGTAGCACAATAAATAGGTCCCCTTTTAAATTTGCCTTTTATCAGTGCTGATGAAGACCTTCAAAGGCTCTGGATGGAGTGAGTAAACGGGCAGTTTTTTCTTACCGTACACCGAGCATGATGAAATTTGACAAAACGTGCAGACATATGGCTGCAGCATCTTGTTATTTAACTATCAAATAGAGATATTTGCAGAGATGCAGAATAATTTATAATTTACTCCCATTTAGATGAAAATAGCAGGGGGGGGGGGAATCACGATGTTCATCATTTTACCCCCAAATTGACAGGTTAATGATGTGCAGCACACCATATGGCAGCATCGCACCGATCAGATCATCTAACTTGTTCATTCATATTAATCTGATCTCTCAGCCCTGAAACCTGATGGGATTTTGGGGGGTGGAGGCGTAAACACGAGTTCAGAAATGGGCTATCATTATAAACACGTGTTCACACAGCTTAATTAAAACGGTGGCATCAAAGGCCCACGATAGGCGGGCTTGTTGCTCGAGAGGGAGCCATATGAATACTTATGAGGACTTTTTTTGTTTTGTTTTTTGTTTTCTTGTCACACGGAGCGGCAGCGGCTGGTCTGGCTTTTGTTCTCTGTCGTGTTTACTTCGCTGCTGCCTATTAAAGGGCTGAGCTGTGATTTATGAGCCGAGTAAAACAAGACAGCATTATTCTACTTACGGACGATATAAACATCAACTCCCATGAGCTATGAGGGACCCTGTGTGTGTGTGTGTGTGTGTGTGTGTGTGTGTGTGTGTGTGTGTGTTGCACTTTGGGCTGTCACTGCTCCTGAACGGTGGCAGCTTTAACAGCAGTTCACGTGTTGACAGTTTTATGAGGACCCCTCGTTTGTGTAAGCTGATCCTTAACCAGATCAATATTTCATACGTGACGACGCTTGTTTTTGTGACAAGAGGCTGACATTTAATATACCCTGTATCATCCACCTATGAGGTCAATATATGCTACAGTACAGTATATCTAAGCTACAGTATCGGTGTGTATCAGTACATTGATGTGATATCTCTAACTATAATACGATCAAAATTCCTACTTTTTTTTAATTTAAAGTGACGGGCTGTGCCTTTGGTCGGGTGCCCCCCCCCCCCTCCCCGGCCCCCACCTCAGCTGTGTCTGCAGACGTGCCACCCACCCACGTCTAGTGGGCGATAATGTGCGTGAGCCCACGGTGCTGTTATCTGCCCCTGCGCCCTGCAGTTTGCCTCACAGACCCTCCAGTGTTCTGCAAGGCTAACAGCAGGTGGCGCTCTGCTGAGACTGGGGAACAAGTGTGTTTGCAGTGTCAGAGCCTTCCAACTCTCTGGGCTGGTTTTTATGGCTGCTGTGCTAACTGGCAGGATTTTTTGGGGGGTGTCTTTGCCTCTTTCCAGCTGCCAGTGCAGCAGCAGGGGGCAGCGTTGTTGTTGTTGTCGATTTAAAAGGGTAGGGGCCCTCTTCTCGAGTCCGTCCTTCATTCATTCAGGAATGTGAATAAGGAGGAGGAGGACGGTGGAAGGATGGGTGAAATGGCTTTGGGACACGCTCAGAAGTCCTGAGTGTGTGTTTCCAAGAGTTGCTCCCCCCTCTCGACCACCACCTCTCATTTCTGGTGGTTACCTTTTGGAGGAGTCTTGAATGTGCCTTGATGAGCGTGGAGTTTCTAGATCGGACCTCAAGCCGTCGCAGCGTTGTGCTCTGAGAAACTCTGGAGGAATGTTTCTGGTGCTGGCTAGTCTGAGTTCTCCTGTGAGCCTCTTTAGCCCCGTCTCAGCTCCAGAAAGAAAGATGTTGCAAGATATCTGCGAGTGACTTTTCTACTCTTTGCTGTAAACTTATTTTTTTGATCCAAACCTGATGATGAAAATGATAATGATACTGTGTTTCCAATGTGTTTTTCCTTCTCTTTGCTTTCCCAAACGTGAACCCTCTCTCCCCTTTGTGTAAGGGCTTGTAGATAAATATATGTTGACATGAAGAAGAATCGCTGTCGTGGTGCAATCTCGATATGTTTGGGAAATCAAGGAAGCCTCGTTTTCAGCAAACGGCATGTGAAACAGTCGGTGAGATGATCCATTTATAGCGCTGAGCTGCTAAGCGGCTTCCACGGGAAAACCTCAACGGGCATCGCTCGCGTTCGGCGTGAAGGTGAGGCGATCAGGCAGAGAGAAGAAACTCACTTTCGTCAGCCGGAATTCTATCATTGGATTTTTAATCATTCGGAATGTAAATTCGCTAAACAGTCCAGACGGCGTTCAGTCTTTGTTTTCAGGGTAATTGTGCCGCAGCTTCCTCAGTTTGAACTCGAATATGCAACAGAGAGCTCGGCCCTCTCTCCAAACTGGATCACCTCACTGGCTGTTTTATTTTGATTACAATCATGTAGACCTCAAGAACTCAATGACTGTCGCACTGGATTTTTACACTCCTTTTTCAAACATTATATACATCTATATATATCTATATATAGATGTATATAGATATATATATACACACTGCTCTGGTCTAACTGTATTTTTAATACTGCATGTGCATGCAAATAAGGAAATTATGGGAAAACATGACTTTATATAAATGTGCTCTACTTGTGCTGTGGCGTCCAGGACGGGGACTCGAGAGCAGCCAGTGCAGTCCTCGGTTTTCTTTCAGCTAAACTGCGTCACAGTTTAGCTTAAAAATAAAACCCCCTGCTTTTGTTTGCAAATCTCTTTAAAAGTACCCGATTCCTTAGCTGGTTGGATGCTGAGGACGAATTCTTTGTCGTCCCTCCTCCTGCATGCACCGCCCTTGGGAAGCTGGATTGAAAAGACACCCAAAGCTTTGAAAAGGCCGATGTTTTCCATGTGTGGACATCAGTCACAGGAGGCCTGAATCATGTGGTGCTTGATTGAATCAATTGTTTACACCACACACGGTACAAAATGATTTGAGAGGTCTAACCGCGAGTTCCCTAAAACACGGTGATTATTTAAAACAACATTTCCCCGATTTTAAGATGTTTAAGTAACTTTGCAAGGGGGACTTTGTTTGGCGGCGGCTGCTCTCCGCCCTGACATGGTCGCCACGGTATGTTGCGTTTTTCTATCCTTTTGAAGCCTCTAAATGTAAATGTTTGATATGTGTTTCCAGACTGTAAACTAGATGCAACACATTTTCCTGCCCCAGAGTCTGTTCAGTGCATCAGGTGCCACAGTTGGGCTGTAAAATCTCAAACACTTCCTCATCTGTTACCACCGGCGACCGCGGCTGGGAGCGTTTCTTCTACGCCGACGTGCTTAGGGTGTCATTTCTTGAACGGGGTCGGTTCTGCTTTTGATGCAGCTGCCAGGCGTCGAGCAAACTTAAAGCAGCGAAGGCGTTTTGAGAAATCTTTGCTCTGTTGAAGCTAGGAAGTGAAAGTACATGAAGCTAATGTCAGCAACGCCGATATCCGGAAGTGTCCAATGGCGCGGCGCTCATCGCTGCAGACACTTTGTGTCCTTGTGGTTGAAATGTTTGCATGTCCAGCACATGTACTATGGAGCAGTCCCAGCAGCAGCTGGCAGATGCCACAACTCCTGGAGCGGCACACTATTGTCCACTTTTTGGCTCTCGGCTTCTCTCTGTGACACAGAGACTGGGAGAAACGGAGAAGGAGGCTGAGTTGGTGCGCAACAAAATCCACCTCCAGCGTATTTGAATCTTAAATTAAATGACCCATTTGTTTGTTTCAGCTGCACAAAAACCAAAGCATAAAAAGCAATAATTTGCCAGCGTCAGCAGGGTTGTGGCCCAGACTGTTTCTTAGTTCTAAGTTTTGTATTTCAACCCAAACCAGAATCAGCTTTGTTGCCTAACTGTAAACAAACTGAAAAGAAAAGCAATTATGATGCTACAAGCTCTCCCACCAGCACCGCAGAAAGTAACAAGTCTGGGTGAAGAAATGCTCCACCGCACCATTAAACAGGTGGATGCCATTTATAGATCAATTCAGTCACTGCAAAACAGTCGCACTAGAGAAAACAGTGGGTGGAGACCGAGGGTGACCAATATTATTGCAGCCGTGTGCGAAGAACCTGCGGTCTCATTGACTTCAAAAAGGTTGCGTCAATGACGAAGACCATGTCTTCAACGTGACTTTGGTTCATGAAGATTGTGATAAAACAGCAATAAGACGGAAACCATCTGCGATTGAACACAGGCCAAGTTACATCCAATCTGTGTTGATGCAGCGATTCACTGATGAAGCAGCGAATATCACAATCTGTAAGTCCAGTCCGAACCTCACAGATTGAAAACATGAAGACAGAACAACGATTTTCAAAATGACAAAGGCGCTGAGTAACCTGTAAGTAGGAATACACCCAATGGCAACCAGTTGAGTCGAGACCCCGAATGCAAAGAGACGCGTCATTGATGCAGACAGGCTCAGGTTGGTTGCAGCGTGCTAGAAATCTGTCTGCGTTTCTGAATTAAGCAGGGACTTTGCTTGGACCCGCTCGAGTCCCTCTGAGGTAAATTTAAGCATCAGCTGTTCATCCGAGTGCCTGCTTGAGTTTTGTGACCGATCAGAGTCAACACGACAAAGCACCATCTACACACCCTGCCAAAGTGACAGACTTCAAGCAGATGTCAGATTGACTGCTCAATCCTCGGGTGTGCAGTTTGCCTTGTCTGCTGTGGAGTATAATCAAGACTTTACATGGCAGTTATGTGCAAACCTTCCAATCTGCCCACGAATGATTGGAGTCAGACTAATTGTTTCACCTTGCGATCAAAAGTGATATTGGTTACCTCACCTTCTTGCTATCATCCGATGAATTTGGAAAAAGTTTTCCAAATTCGTTAAAGGTTTTTTCAAACCTATTCACATGGAGGTTGCCGTGTCCTGTGTTTGCTCTAGTGTGACTGAGCCGTCAGAGCGCTGCTGTGGCAGAGTGTACCGAGCTCCTTCTGTTTTTCCCAGTCTGGAGGTTAAGCTAAGCTGACAGGCTAACTTCTCCACAAGCTTCAGAGGTTTTCTCGACTCTCATCAAGAAAACAAACAAAGAGTTTCTTGATGAGCTATTCCTTTGGCATTTGGATGCAGGCTGTGATGACTGATTAAGATAGTTTTCAGATGGAAATCAGTTAATCTTTGCAAGTGCCACCTTAAACCAGACAAAAGGATTTCCTCTGGTATCTCCTCCAGTCAACATACATGAGCCTGTAACACCCCCCCTGACATCTCAAACACGTCAGCTCTGAGAGAAACACTAGTCTCCCAAAGTCTCTTCCTCCTTCTATATGTGCTGAAAATAAGTCCTAGGAAGCCGCTTAAAACCTCATGATGAGCTCCAGTATCAGTCACACAGGCCTCCTTCCTCCTGTGCCATCAGGAGTAGCAGCGTTATGTTCTCACGAAGCCGGCGTCTCTCGCCGGGGGAGGAAAAGTCTAAAGACGGGGGTGGGCGGTACGCGGCCGATGTAGGGATTTAGCTCAGACCATTTTGGGGCGGTACGAACCGTTTCCAAACTGGCGATGCTCTCTCGTTTTCATCCATCGCTCAAGCAAACGCATCATTTATATCAGTCGGCATCATGTATCAAGCAGGATCTGTTAGGATAATATGCAACCGTACATCAGCGACAACACATTTGTCGCCTTTATTTCTTTGGGCCTCTGTCACTGCACGCATTAAACAGTGATGTAACACAACACAGACCTCTCTCATCTCCACACACGCAAGCAAGCAAACACAATATGAGTGAAAGAGGTGTGAAAGCCCACTGAGTGAGATCATGGGTGCGATATGTGGCCCTGCTGCTCAGCGTATGTCCCCGTGGCTTCAGATCTCATCATGTGACGATGCGAAGAGCTTGCTCCTGTCTCACCGGGCCGCTGGTCCAAAAACACAGATCCGCTAAGGAGTTATCGGCGTGTGTGTGTGTGTGAGAGAGAGATGATGGACTGTGTTTCCAACGACCGCCCGAGGTATGTCCCATCTGCTCAATGTAGCATTTATACCTCCTCCTGTTGTGTTTGTGTTGTGCAAGTGACCACAAAAGCTTATTTTGTGTGTGTGTGTGTGTGTGTGTGCGTGTGTGTGTGTTTGTACACCTCTACTCCCTACAAAGCCTGGTCAAGCCATTCCTGCAACCATAAATGCACATTTCAGTGTTCAAGCTGTCGTACCTCATGAATTTTCACCGCCCTACACACACTTCTGCTCACACCAGCCCAACGGCCGCCTGCGTGATTCATTACCACACACACTGGCATCTGCGGAGCATCACCTTCTATCAGGCAACCAGTATGAGCTGTAACTCCGCGTTTACAGGACGCGGAGGCCTCTCTGAGTCAAGAGCGCAGACGATGTTAGGTGTTATCGGTGGAGCGCGTGAGGGAGGGGGCGGGGGGAGCTGCTGCTGTTTGTGCGTACGCGTGCGTCCGAGTCTTTGAATAATTGACGAGGACGATGTGAAACGGGGCACGCACGCAGGGCTCCCCATGTGTGACCTTAGATGATAAGAATCGCTGCTGTCCGTGGAATCGGTAGCTTGCCTTTTACTGTGAGGGTGCTGGGGGGGGGGGAGACACACATGGGTCAGTTTTACCCGAGACAAAGAGATTTGTGCAACCGCAGGCTCTGGTTTTCTTCTGGTTGAAGGTGGAATCGGTTCTGCATGTTGGCGCCACAACAGAAGGTCTCAGATGTCCGTGGGGCCGATCACGTGTCTGATTCCCCCCCCCCCCCCCCCCCTTCTCTCTTTGCAGGGTAGGAATATGCTTATTTACATTATCGTGAAGTTTGAAGAGAGGATCGATACCAGCTGCTTGTTTATTATAAAATTATAGAACAACGTGCCGCAACAAGTCGACTTACAGACAAGCTGGCTTTGGTGTCTGCAAGACTGACCTACCCACATCCTCTAAACCAGGGGTGTCAAACATAAGGCATGGGGGCTAGAATTGGCCGGGAAAACCCCCAATCTGGACGGCTCTGAAAAAGAAAGAAAAATGGCAAAAAAAAATTGACTTTTAACTGTGTTTTCATACGTTTTACAGCTTTTTCCTTCCCCATACTATCATACTGTGAGCGATTAGCTGCCCACTTTATGATTTAGTTATAATTTCTTACAGTTTGAGCCCAAAGAGTCACACTGACAGATTTCATTTCACTTACTACAGTAGAAAAACTTTATCGTGTGGAAAAACTGATTTGCTCTTTAAATGTGTGGTTAAACTTCTTCACACTGACAGAAAGATGTTCCGCTGTATGTGGCCCACGATGGAAAATGAGTTTGACATCCCTGCTCTAAACCATTTAACTAAGAGGTTTTTTTTGTTTTTTTCTTTCAGTTGAAAACTTTAACCAGTGCTGGACACACATCACTTTGACTAGCTCCCACAAAACCCCACGGCATAGTAAGTCCCATTTTGTGCTACACACAGGTGGGAAACGGGATCATGGAGCCCACATAATGACATATACTACAGGGTCCCCTGTGGGACGTGTCATTAATGCCTCCCTTCATAGCAGCGTATCGATCTTCTCGTTCAACTCTAAACAAGAAAAATCCAAAACGGTCCAAATTGTCATTTGGGATTCCCGGAGGTTTGTTTTTTTCTTCTGCCTGCTGGACCTTACACACACTAAGCCATGTTTCGACTGAATGTTCTCTTTCTGCACATTTAAACCGGCCTGCTTCTTCATAACTCGCACGACAACAACAGCTGTCAGTGTCACACACTGAGTCTACACGGGATCCTTTGTGAACACAACACACGACACAAAGCACTTGCAGTAAAGATCTATCACAAAATGTGTACTCTATTGCACCAGTGATGTTATTATTATAATGGCATTCTTTTCCACGATATTATCAAACGACTTCTATCGATATATATATACATACATATATATATATATATGATTTTTCTCTGGTTGAGAAGAATCGGTGCACACTGACTGTTAAATCTCCTGTACCATTTTGTTTTTTCTTATCTGATCTCTGTGTGTGTAGAAAACGCCATCGTTCTTGTTGTAAAATTGTGTTTACTGACAAAGTGCGTTCTGGTGCTGTTGTTGTTTGACTCGGTGTAGAGTTTAGACCTTCTCCAGAGCGATCTGTGTGACTTCAAGTTTCTGCAGGCGTCTGGTTATAACTGAATAAAGATTTTTTGGCAGCTGTTTGTTAGCTGCTGTCGGTGTGTCGTTTCTCCTGAATGTGGCGCTTCTGTGTGAGTGCAGTTTAACCACACGCTTTCTGATAACACAAAGCGTTCCTTAAGATTGTTTATTGGAAATAATGTAGGTCAATTCTACAGATCAATTTTAGAGTTAGTACATTTCTAACAAGCTCAATATTTGGTATGACATCCTTTATTCTTCAACACTGCTTGGATAAAAGAGTTTCTTGTGATTTCTTTAAGTAGTCTTCAAGAATAGTTTTCCAGGCTTCTTGAAGCACCTTCGGATGTTGGCTCCCTTTTGTTCTGTTGTCTGATCCCACACTGCTTCGGTAATGTAGAGACCCGAGCTCTGGGGAGACCAGTCCATGACAGATATGGTCATTATGTGGTTTTCTGTCTAATTATGCTATTACTGTATTGACCATGAGTTTGGGATCATTCTCATGCTGACAAATGAAGATTTTGCTGATCTGATGCCAGTATTACATAGTGGATCAGAAGAAGATTCCCTTCACTTCCCCATTTCTTAAGGACATGACTTTCAGATACTGTTCAGCTGCTGTAGGCAGATCGGGCCTACCAATACTTCTTTTGTCCTCCACTTGTCCAGTTTCCTCAAATTTTTTAGGGGACAATGTGCACACTGTGCTGAGATACATAAGTTCTCAGTTAATGGCTCAAAAATACTGTTTTATGGCAGTGAAACTATGACTCCACTAAAGAAATTGGAGCAAATAAGTCTTTGTAACCAGCTGCTGGTGACAAAATGTGTAAAGATACAATTTAAACTTCTTTACAAAGTTGTCTGTACACTGAATATTGCTTCATCCATATTTTATGTGGACTTGGGTCAGTTTTACGTAGCTTAAACAAATATTTCTCTGAAAACGGTCAGGCATGAGGACTGGATTGAAAATGAGTGAAAAACAAACAAACAAAAAACAGCCAACGTGTAAAGAAAACCTTTGAAAGCCTGGAGAACTATTGCTCGAGACCACTTTACAAGAAAGTCTGGCTCCTTGGAAGCAAAATATAAAGAAATGAGGGGTGACTCGAGACTTTTGCACAGTACTGTGGTAGGAATAACAATCAAATACGAATACCAACTGCTTTGTTAGTCATATTATTGCAGTCAACTCTAAATTTATACTTCTCATTTCACCGCTGCTGTAGCCCAGACTTCAGGTCTGATTTAAACGCTGATCAGATCAGTATTTTCAACTTTTTCCAACTCCAGTGTCACTGAAACTGCTGTTTATATATATTTAGAAGCCGGTTACAAACATTTTAGGCCTATCCTCTCCTCTGACTTCCTCACTTCTCCTACATCTCCCCTCACTGTGTCAGGCAACAGTAATGACTGTGAGTCAGTTCAGCAGCAGGCTCCAGGCTGTCTGGGCCGGACTGAGACGTAAAAGCACCACAAGCAGAGCTTCTGATCTTGGCTGCCCTCTTGTGTTCAGTTGAGGTATTGCACCTCTATAATATTTGTGTATTTAATGTAAAATGACGTCATAGAAACTAATGAATAAACACAGTAGGGTAAGCAATGTTGCCTGAGTGACTCCCCACTCCTCCCACATAAAGTCAATGAGCACTGAGTCAGGTTACTTCAAAAGTCTTTTAATTAGAGTGCATTTCTTGTCTCCATAGTTCCATTCATGAACAAATGTGTTTGTGTGTGTGTTGAGTAAACGACTCCAAATAAAAGCGCCTCAGATAAAAGGCTGCAACAAATTTGCTCATGGCTGGATAGCAGTGTTCCCGACCCTTGGTCTGCATGGCGATGTTAACGGCGAAGGGCGAGCTGAATCACACGCACGATTGGACCACCAGCAGGAGAAGACTTGCACAAGGTTGGTCGTGCATCCAGAAGAGGGGAAGGGTTACAAATCAGTAGTTTAGTTACGCTCACGTCTCAGAGGAAGCCCTGGCTGACTCCACCCTGGCTCTGTTCGCCCTTCGAGGTTCATTGAGCCTCCATCGTCACCCGTGGGTAGCACGCAACTCGATTCATTCATTGTTCAGCAGTTCAATAGTTTCTAGGATGTGCAGGATCAATAGTGAGCTGAAAACAGTGGTCACTGAAGATGCACCACTAAGTTTACCTTCAACACTCAGAAATGGTGATTGATCTCTGAAAGCAGCATTTATTTGTTTTACCCAATACTGTATGTACCTGTGCAGTCTGCCAAAACTCTACCACCAGAATTTCAATTATTTATGCAACTTCCCCCCAAAAAGCAGGAAAAAGCCTGTTGAGCTTATTCAAAATAGGGAGGGAAACCTTCTCTGTTACAATATTATTTCATATCAGTGAAGTATCCTCTTGCTAGGCCTTTTATCACGCACAGTGTGGGGAGGTTTAGGTGTTACCTCCCACGCAGGAACAATGAAGTGTTTAAATATTGACTCTGGCTCTTTTTTTCCCTCTTTCACCTCGGGTCAAGGCTGAACCTTGACGCTGTGTTTGCTCTATCTCTGTTCCGCTGATCTTGGCAGTTTTCCTGTAACTATCTGAGCGTGGAGATCGTTCTCTGACAACATCATCACAAAGGCAAAGAAAGGGGGGAATTTTTGTGTGTGTGTGTGTGTTTCACCCCCATCCTGTGCTCTGAAATTCCTATTTTCGAGTCGGTGTTTGCACTTGGGAAAAACTGACTAATTTAACCCACAGTACTCGCACCAGGTGTCGCACCCCTATGACACTGAAAGGCATACATTTTTACATTTGTTCTTTGAACACAGTGTTAAATTACTTTGCAATCGTGCTGTAAGAAAAATTAAAGGAAAAAAAAAAAAGAAGCCCAAAACAAGGTAAACTTAAAAAGACCCCGAAATGGAAGCGGAGCAAACGAGTGCTTCTAATAATAACAACAACTAACACATAACACAGGGCCATGCAGAAGCTAGGAGCCCACAACTGCCTGGGTCACATACCAATGTGTAAATCCTTCATAAACGAGTGAAAACTTTGTGCAATTTTCTACTCTCCAGAAAAGAAAAAAAACAACAACACAACAACACAAAAACTGTTACGTTTCTACAGAAAAAAAAAAGATAAATTGGAGCATGTTTGGCAGGTTAGGCAGAGGCATGAGGAGTGCGAGAGGGAGAAGATGAAGGGGAAGAGGAAAAGTGGCACAGCAGGGAGGATTTCTCCCACAGTGAGCCTGAAGAGACTCGAAGATACACAGCAAAAGACCACATGCCTGCACCCATCCCATGCTTTCACTTTCCGCGGTGGTTAACAAGTGAGAGCACGTGTCATGAGAAAAGATCCGACAATTAGATCACAAGGAAGGCTGGGAGTGTGGGGGGGAGGGAGTCACTGGTTTCCAATAAAGGGAAACTGGCACGCAGCGTTTAGGGGGAGAGTGTGGACGGCCCGGGGGGTTAGAGGGTCGACAGAGAGAGCTCAAGAGTGGTTAGGCCCTCTCAGTGCATCGGCTCCTCCTGGGAGGGCGAGTTGTCTGGCTGATTGAGCGAAGCCTCAGCGGTTGGAGAATCCCCGCCGTCCTGGATGCCGGTCTCACTGGTGGATGGTGATGGGGTCATCTTGGTCTGAGGCAGGAGGAAAGAAAACAACGTTGGTTTTACTCTGATGGAATTACAGCTACTAGAACAGAGAGCACACACCAGCATCTGTACAACCAATGAAATGAATCTCACTTTGATCCGCTGACTTTGATCAGGCCTCGTTTATTAGGCTGTGGCAACATTTAATGTTTAAATAAAGGAATATTTAAGTGAAGCAATCACCTTTAAAAAAAAGCAGCACTGAGAGCGCGCTCAGCTTTAAGATAATTAACTCAACTTAAAATGTTTGTTTTACGGCTCTGCACGCTAAATCCCAAGATCAAAGATTTTCTGCAGCATTAAACTCGTCACATTTAATGCAATATGTTGCATTTTACTGCTATATTTTTATAATCCCTGCATATTTTTAACCCTCATTTTATGATCATCGTCTGACAACTTCTCAGATTTGAGGCACTCGGGGGGATCATTTTATGTGAGTGTGCACAGAAGCTGTGCTTCATATCCTTTGTAGTGGAAGGTGGGATATTTTCTGACTCATCCAGAGCACAGAAATGTGTTTTTCTCATCACTAACTTAGACCAGTGCACAGTGGGTCACTAATTGGGATGATGAGATAATTGGGATCCAGCTACCTGCAGTCAGTGACATCTTCTAGGCCCGCTACATAAACAGGACCACTAACATCACCAGATACCCTGCACACCGTCTCATCAAACTCCTGCCATGCGGTAGGAGATACATCGACATTCAGTCACACGCAACCAGGCTGAAAACAGTGATACATGACCCTTAAATAATTCTGGGAACTTATATTGCACAACATTTTTGTGACCTGAATGAGTCAAATAATGTCACAGCTTCCACTACCAAGGATATGAAGGACACTGAATAAAGCTTCATAAAGCTCCTGTACCCCTAGTGCTGGGCCCAAGCCTGGATAAGTGGCAGGACTGATTCAGGGAGGGCATCTGACATCACTTACTGGTTTTTAAGGCCTCGAATTGAGCATTTTGACATCCACTATCTTATTTTTATTATTTAAACCAGACACGTGGAGCAACAGATGGATCTAACTAAGAAACCAAGGACACTGCGTGCTCTCAGAAGCCACAAAGGCTCACTTTAAATCTTGATTAAAAAGCTATTTAAGAGCCGAATTCCTCTTTTCACGAACACTGAAAAGAGAGGACGAACTGAACGCGACCTCATTACTGCGGCGTGATGCCAAAATGCAGTGGAATACAGTTTGTGCGCAGAATAATGGTGCGTTTCTGACTCCTAGCCATTCTACATCCACACAGGCACGTCTGCAGACGGCATCAAGGTCCTTTATCCAGCCGTTACCTTCAGAGTCTCTACTTTCTCCTCAAACGACCTGAAGGTTGGTGCGTTTCTGTGAAAGGAAAAAGGCAGAAGACAGAGAGGAGAGAGAAAAAAAAAGATGACTGAAGTTATCAAACATAATCACACCCAGACGAGATGCAGACACGTCTTCCTTTCAAAAGGAAAATAGAGCAGGACACCCACTGCAAGCACAGCCTTTAAAGGTCATGTTATCTGATACTCGATACACACAATGCGGGATTTTCTAAAGTGACCCCATTCTTCTCTGTTCAGCTGAGAAAGTGCTAAGAGGGCTTGTTTTTCATGCAAACACACAAAGGGAATACAGAGCGAAGAGGGCGAGAGGACAGTCTTCCGAAAAGCCTCTCGTGTGCGTGCGCTCTCGAGCTGAACTTTCGGATTCACCGGGAGAAATTTCTGATTATATTTACAGACCAAATAAGAAATAAAGTTCTTTCAAAACCTGGTTACGTGTGTGTGTGCCCAGGTTTTGTGAAAGCAGAGCCATATTTAGGGCAGAACTTTCTTTCCAAGTGCAGAAAAACAAAAACCAGGCGAGCAGTTTGTGCAGGTGGGCGTTTCCCTGCATCTTCATATTTTCTTCTTCTTTTTTTTTTTTTTTAGATTTCTGTTAAACCTCTGAGCCTGACGAAACAGCAGCGGCCTGGCGGAGCGAGATTATTAAAGCTGCAGCTTCACTGATAGCAGATAAAGTGGCTTTCACCAGCGGTCTCTCGGTATTATTAGGGTACGCTGTCAGGCCTTATTTTATTTAACAGGAAACACGCTCTTCTGTCTGTCTACTGCCGCCCACAGACACTGAGCAGCCTCCAACATTCACACGAACTGGTTCGGGTTCTCTTACCTCATGACGGGCATGCTAGCTGAGTGCTGCAATGACTTTACGCTATCCGACAGCGTTATTGAGGAGAAAAGAAGGAAGTGTTAGTGGTCATGTTAGCACAGCAGCAGCAGAGCGTGCACAGAGCGAGAGAGCACAACATACAGCACAAACCCTCGTTTATTCTACCGAGTGCATAAATCCTATAAATCCCACTTTATCCAATTAAGATTGATTGTGTATTAACACAGCGGGTACGTGTTAATCCTGCGAGTTATGGGTGAGTATCATGTCATCAAACGCACGCACACACAAAAGGACAACACATGCACACACACACACACCCTTCTGACCCCTGTCAGGCCCTCAGTAGCCCCCCCCCCATGGCAACCAGCCCCGAGTCTTTGAGGCTGCTCTTCTCAGCACACTGCAGCTTTGAGAGGACTAATAATCTTGTTTGCGGCTCAGTAATCCAGAGAGAAGAAGGATGACAGGGGAGGGGAGACACACTAAGACACGAGAGGGAGGATCAACAAGAGATACATCTCAAATGCAACAATCTGCTGTTGATTTTTTTTTTTTAAGCCGGGTTTAATCAGGAATAATTCACAGGAAGTGCTGCGTTTGGTGCTCTGAACGCACAGTTTGACATCTAACCCACCGGGACATATGCCCTTTAATAAGAAGCTGGTCAAAGTGGTGCAACAGGCTAATTAGATTTAAATAAAACACATTAGTGCATAAAAACACCCCTGATTTCAGTTCATTCTGCAGAATTTGATTTTTTTTAAAAAACAAAACATGCAGGAAAATGTCCAAGTTATTCATGCAAATTGAAATCGATCAGAAGAACGACCCCTGCAGTCCCACATTCAAACACATTTCACAAAGATGGTATGAAAAGAAAAATAAGATTTATTTCTCCTTTAACTGGCCTTAAATAAGTGAGCAGTCTTACCTAACTTTATTAGACGTATAGTGTGACCTGCAAAAGCCAAGCAATGCTGTAAGTTACTAACACTTCTGCTGCTTCTATGCTGATTATCGCACATTTCTCATTTGTTTAACACAAAGAAAGGCAGAATATGAATATACAGGAGATATGGAAGCCACTGCTTATGCTTTAAACAAAGATGTGTTTCATGTGGGCCTGCGGGTGCGTTATGAACGGAAGCAGGCGAGCAGTCTCACACTGTCCCCAGTTTTAAAGTTGTCACCTTAAAAACGTGTCCTGACTCTGAATCTTGTTAAAATGAGTTTTGTTAGTGGTTAGTAAAGAAAGACAGGAGTGTGGTCTCTTAAACGCTGAGGAAGGACAGAAGGAAAAGAGGAGCTCAGGCCTTGTAGCCGCTACAGGAACACATTTCTATCACATGTGATATGAGGGACAGGTGCAGCACAGCGGAACCATTTTTACTGTGGCTTTTCAAAGGATTACAAAATATGATTCACTGACATCTCCCCGTCTGACTCACCTGACATCCTCGAGCTTCCGGGTGATGGCTGAGCCCATATTTGTGAAAGCTGCTGTAGCCTTCAGACTCGCCTGAGACAGAGTTTCAGAAGTCCTCCTATAGCTGAAACAGAGAGAGAGAGAAAGAGGAGTGATGGGCGGCCCAAAAAAAAAAAAGGATATGAGTGTGATGAAAAGAGACTGAAGGATCAAAGCCGGAAGAGACACGTGAAGGTCAGAAGTAAACTTCAGTGTCTTTTTCATTTTAAAGAAAAGCCGGAGAGCATCAGAATGCTGCTCATTTCCTTCAATGTGAATCCCATCAAACCATTTCAAACAGGCCACAGGCAGCCTGTCAGGAGCACTGACAGCTTTCTACTCGTTCAGCGCAAAAAGAGCGTTTTCTCCACAGCGCTGACAGTTATCCGTATTTTCAGAGCAATTAGAGAAAACGTGCAGGGTTGATGCATAAGAAAGCTCTCGATCAGGACGGGAAAAGGACAAAAATACTACAAAAAGTCTTTAGCAAACGCTTTCAGCCGGCTGACATGAAGGCATCGTGAAAAGCGCGCAGCTCAGTACTTACGCAGTGGAGGTAGTGACCTCCTGCCAGGTTTTGGTGATGTTCTGTTTCAGCTCATTAAGAGGAGTGATGCCCAGCTTCCTCTTAATTTCAGCCAGCTGCTTGTCTTTGGATGCCAGCACCTGGGACAGAGTCTGGATCTCATCTTCGACCTACACACACACACACACGTGCACGCACACAGACGTCATATTTGATTCTACATATAAATCTGTACCCCAACATGTAAAGTCTGGCTCATCCAGTATTTGCCATTATAAAAAGATCCAAATTCAAAACACATTTTTTCCAGGTCATAAAACTCCATTGTTTAACTGCATGACCGTGGCGACATTTCCAATTTATTTGGAGCCAGTCCCCACAAACACCAACGTTCTGCTGTTACAAATACAAATTATCTCATTAAATCCGCAGTAAATACATTCCTCGACAAATGAGCCGTTTGATCAAAATACTTTAAATCGACTGAACAGAATGACTGTTCTCCAAATAACTCATTAAAAAAAAATTATTATTTGAGCCTTTTAGCCTTTATCTGATAGAGGCGGACAGGACAGCATGGAGCCAGAGAGGGCGGGTGACAGGCCGCAGCAAAGGCCCTGAGGCTGAATCGAACCCAGGCAGCTGCAGAGAGGACCGAGCCGTTAGTACACGGGTCACACGCGCCACCAGGTGAGGTCCTGGTGCAACAACATTCAGCTGTTTTAAATAGCTGTGAACCGTTTTTTAAGTGAAAAGGCCTGAACTTAGCTTCTCAGTGGTTAAAGAGCATGGCATGTTCCCCCATGCGTGGGCTCTCTCTGGGTACTCTGGCTTCCTCCCACAGTCCATCCTGTCAGGTTAACTGATTATCCCAAACTGGGAGCGTGAATGTTTACCTCGCTCAGACCAACATCTCTTCTATTAAATCTTTGACCCCTCCTGACCTTAGCCAGCTCCTCCTGCAGCTCCTGACGCTCTTCCTCTGTCAAGTCGGGCGTTGTTGAGGACGCAGCGCCAACAGACGTCACTGCATCCTCTCCCACCTCTGGGGCCGAGTCCGGATGGCCCTGGGAACCTGGGAGGTAAAAAAAGAAAAGAAAGAAAGAAAAGAAAACAATGTTTTTGACTCAGCAAGAAGTGAAAAATTTAATGAAGTGATCTCTTTCTAAAGATAAACAGACATGTCTGGTGATTTAACATGTGACAGAGATTAAGAAGTGAAGCTTTCCACAATTCTTCCTGCACAGACCAGCTATACCATCTCCCTCACACACACGGCATATAGAGTACAAACTTGTCTTGGATGTTGATGACTCTGACAGAGCTGTGCTCAGCAGGAACAAGAGCGCATCAATAATACAAAGAACTTTCTAGATGGAGACATCCTCGCCTCAGACAGTGTGAGAGGAGGAGTTGTTGGGATCTGTGAAACAAAAGTACGACACCCAATAACGATGTTCTGGGCCAGAAGTGAGCTGGAATAGGGGAAACAAAAATCTCTCCCTGAGGTCATTATTTTTTCTTTTTGGTATCTAGTCAAATTATTTCAAGGAAGTTAAAGTATAGACGCAAAACCCAAAATAGGAGAGTATGAAAAAAAAAAGGAAAAAGGGGAAACCCCAGAGCTGAATAACTCAGTGTGAGGGGAAGAATACAAGAAAAAGGAACTGCTGGAGTGAACTTCATACACATACAGTGTTGTTACCTCAGCGTGGAGGCAGAACCATCACACAAAACAGAGAAGAGTGTAAGTTTCATTAAAGCGTTGGCTCAACCTAACGAGTAAGAGAATTTGGCCATGTGCAATTTTCTCAGCAGACTGGGGTTGTAATAATTATGTAATAACAGTGAAATATATGTAATAGTGCAAGAGTGGAATGAAGACATCAGGTGCAGCTTCTGTGTATTTGCAGCTGCTTATTATTATTATTCAGGATTTAAAAAGAAAAAGTGCATTTGAAGGTGGTCGCGTAAGCAGCCAATCATTATATTTTGACCTGTTCACTGCATGAATATAGGAAATGTTCCTCTCAGTGACTGAGCTGTCACCCAGCTGGGGTCAGGATTTGGCATAAACAGCAAAACGCACAACATCATTTTAGCCGGTGATATATTTTGTTTCCACACGGAGGCTGCGGTGAAACGCGCAATCTCGCCAAAAGGAATGGTACTTGAAATACATCTTCATCTCCAGCCTCCTCCTCCCACTTCATTCCAAATACTGAGGACACCCTTTCTCTCTTTCAATGCGGACCACTGTGAAGACGTGAGACGGAGACAGAAAAAAAGAGAAGAAAAAAAAAAAAAAAAATCACATAAATCTAGCAGTGCACACTCCCACAAAGACAGCGGGATTGCCTCACGCCGTCTGGAGAGCCGTTAATGAAATAACGTTCCTCTGCCTTCAAAACACACATTATTATCACGAGCTGAGGGAGCCGTGCCATTAATTGCTTCTCCTTTTACATTTAATTAACACCAGGGGACAAGGCGAGCGGATTGGACACCTCGCAAGTGCAAATATTTATATGTCAAAAACACGCTTTGGCGAGAGAAGTGAATCCGAGGCAAATCGTTTCGACGAGGAAACGGAGATGGGCATTATGGTAATCAGGCAAAAAGAACCACAGAGGAAATTCTCATTTAGCCCTCAGTCGTGAAACCACCCCCTCTGTTCCTGTGGGGTGTTTCACTTCATCTGCCCTTAAGCGCATTTCCACTCCCTTTTGAATTTACCCCCCTCTTCTTTCTACTAGTGATCCAGCACTGACACCATATATGCAGACAAACCTGCGTACTACAACATCACAATTTTGCAAAAGACACTTCCTGTTATAACGGCTGTGCTTTAGCCAGATAAAGAAAAAAATAAGACACCACCCTTTTTTTGTAAATTTTAATACACATAATGTTTTGATAACCTACAATATGTTGCTCAGGAACTCATTTTCTTCAAGCACATCGGGTTATGTAAAATTCTGGGCACCTCTGTAAATGTCTTGTAGGTGTGTTTCCATCAGTAGGTGCTAAGAGCATGAGAGGGGAAAAAAAAGAAACAAAGGGAGAGTCAGAGAGAGAAACAAATAGAGAAGTTTATATGCGAGTGTAGGCAGAAGTTTGGCTTGCGACATCAAACTGCATACTCACCCACATCCCTGCCCAACCTCTATGGTTTGAGTTCATTTCCTCTTAACAATCCTGCCCTATGAGCACCCAACTGTGTGTCTGTCAGTACTGTAGCAACGACGAAGACGTGCACTTAAATAGAGACCACGAGCTTTTTGATTGGCCCTCTTTTCCTGTGATAAGCGATAAGCAGCGAGGTCGCCTAGTCATCGAATAGCGGTAACCACGCTAATGCAGCTTTCATAAGGGGCCAGACGACACACCAATAAACATGGAAATCAATAAAGTTGTATTACACAACCAGAATGTTACGAAAGAATAAGATAAGAATGACAGTGTGCATAGGAAGCTATTTGTTCACCTTAATGGGCTCTATTGTCTCATTTGAGTTATATCAAACTCAATCCTTGCACACTTTTGTGTGTGTGTCTGCACACAAACAGCTCCAAACATGACGAGGAACATCCTTTAAGATTTTCCATCTCTCTCTCTCTCTCTGTCAAACTTATTCTCATAAATACGACCTACCTCAAACGCCTCATGGAAATTTCATCAAATTTGCACAGAGATTTAATTGGACTCAAGAGTGAATTAATACTGGTAGTCAAAGGTTAAAGGTCATCGAGCACACTGTCAACCATAACCAATTAGAAGGAAATTTAGCATAAATGCTCAGCAGGGTAAAATGATGACATTTAATATAAAAGCGGCAACTTGACTGATACGTGCGGTTTTCTCTGACATTGTGGTGCCTTAAATATTGGCCACCTTATTATGTAAACAAACACGCAAGCGAACACAACAGGAAATGTGACAGTCAGCAATCCGGATACCTACAATCAAAACTCTCCTCTTAAGGAAATACTTAGAATTAGAGCTTGTATTAAAAGAAGCATCCAGCTGCGTCGAGGCACTAAACCCATTCTGTGTTATTTGCAACTTTCAACAGATCTAGCGTTAAAGAACATGAGGCATAAAAACCTCAACATGAACAGAAACTACGAGGACCTGGGAACACTAAGACACATGGAGCGCGCACACAGCCAGGGTCGTGACAAGGAACAGAGGAAGATGAGCAATTGAATTCACAGGACAACGAGAGGAAGGGCAACAGGTGGAAACACAGCTGGAACTAATCTGAGTAACAGAACAGGAGAAGCAAAACTGAGCATAACACACATGAGACGAGGCACCGTCAAAATAAAACAGGAAGTGACATACACATAGCGACCCAGACGAGGACATGAAAGCTTGATAGTAGGACAGGAGGTAAATGGACACGGAAGCAGGTGGCAGAGTGGGGAGACAAAGAGCGTGGAAACAGGTACAGGAGACAGAACACAGAGACATGACTAAGACACGGAGAGAGGGAGAGGAAGACATAAGACAGGCTGGGGAACCTAAGGAAACGCTAAAGACAGAACATAGAGACGCAGACTATGACCAACGGGACATGACAACAAGACTGACATCCACAGGAGACACCGAGGACAGAACACAGGGACGAGACATGAAAGGAAACTAATATCAGACTCAGAGACTCTAGAAAGAACCAAACTCAAGACTAAACCGTACAAAACTAAAACTCTTAATCATTTTCATGACGCAAAGGAAAGAATAATGAATTCACACAAAACTTGAAATCCTGGCTCACAGACCCAGGTACCATGACAACAGGAGGTTCCTACCGCAGCTGAATGAGTCTGTAATGGGAGGAATGATGGTTGGGGAACAGATGATGAACACTGCTGCCTGTGAGAACTCGTTGGAAAGGCTTAATTGTAAAAATGAGACAAAATCAAAGCATAACTCGATATGGACAGTCTGTACTGGACGTTGCAAAAATGTCACCCAATAACTTATGGTACAAACTGTGTACCTCACTCTGTGTCCGTCTTGTTCTGTCTTTTTCTGTTTATATCTAACTCAATTGGATAAATGTTCAAGGACAGCGTGATAAAGAGCTGTTAAACTGTAGCGAATACTTCTCTTTTCCCCCAAAACAGAAAAACGGACAGTTTTACAGTCACTGCATCCTTATTCTCTACATTTCTAGGAAAAAGAAGGAAAATGCGGCGCGCCGTGTGGTACAGCAGCATAATTATGACTGAAGTTTAAAGAGTTATGATGGTCTGAAATCAACACCGTCTGAGATCTAGAAACATCTAAATTGAGAGAATGCTGTCATACGCATCGCCGACAATCATCATTTGTTCCCTCCCCCTCCAGTTTGTGCCCCCACCCCAAATTCTTCCTGTTCAATGAACCAAACCCATGTTTTGTCTTTTTATCCAGCAAGTGCGCACACACACACACACACACACGCGAAAAACACACACCCTTCACTCGGCCTCTCCCTTCTCTCCTTGTGATTACCTCTGGTTTTGACAGCTGGCGAGCTGGGCGGTGTGTCGCTTAAGGCTGGGGAGAGGTAGAGATAGCTGGTGTTGACTCCTTGTTCAAAGTCAAACGGAGAGCGGTATTCCTCCAGAGGGTCCATGCTTTATTCTTTACAGCTCTCAGCGTGTCGCCGGCCGGAGCGACTACCACCTCCTTTTTACCAGCACTACCTAAGCAGAGCCAGCCGAGTGCTTATTGCTGATTGTTTGCATGTGACCCAGGCGCGTGCTGCTTGTGTCCGTTTCCTTCTTTACTAGACATGCGGAGACACACTCGAGTGTCCAAGTGTGTGCATGCAGGAGGAAGGAGGTTTTGTATCGGCCCTCAGGTAGTCACAAGGTGAGAGTGACTACAGTGATGCCAATTTCTAAATATCGGTTTCTGTTTTGGGCCAAGGTGTAGTGAGCCCTTTGCTCCTGTCTTGCTGTTAATAAGTTACCTGTCCCCTCAAGCAGCTGTTGTAGCCGGCTCACACACACAGACACACAAAAAACACACCCTCCCACTTCCTCTCCACTATAATCCCAAAGGTCAGTTCTTAGTCCATCCTGCAGACCGTGAGCGCCATCGCTGTCATTTTTGTGTGCCTAGCTGCTGTTGCGATACCACACGGTACTCCTGTTTCAATACTCTCGGGTTCCGCCGCCAGTTCCCGCCCTCCCTCACTTCCCAGCCTGTCAATCGAGGAGGACATGAGCGCGACCCCATTTGTGTGGGCTGGTCATGCGATGTGATTGTGTGGGGGCGCATTAGATGAAAAGCATAATCTGCAGTGTCCCAGATTACAGCAAAGCTCTAATCCAGGGTGGACAGTCCAGCTTGAAGCAGCGGTAATGCTAGTCAGCTAGAAAGGAGAAGAGAGGGTGCCAGAGGCTCTGCGAACTGGTAGAGGGAACAAGTGCTAGATTGTGTACTCACACAAACTGCTTGCCACAATGGCATTCTCTGAACTAGAAAGCTCCTGTAATGCAAGACCTTCATCACATGAAAACAAACTCTTTTAATCGAGCTTTTCCTCGCCTGAAAGCAGACTTTTTCCTTTGCATTACGACACGGCAGAGAGCTGTGACATAAAGCAGGTATTTAGGCTGCACAAAGAGAGGAAAACATAAGTGCAATCCTTGTCACATTTCAATCAAATGTGCAAAAAGCAGCGTAGATGGCAACATATTAGACACTGAAGCTTTCAAGGTTGCGTTGAAAAAGAAAAGCAGCACAAGTTTTATGACGGTGAACGGACAGAATCCCTGAAAGAGCTCGAGAGCATTGTGGAAGGAGGTACAAAACAAACATCGGCTAGTTTAAACAGAGTGAAGCCGACTCAAAGCAAGATCATATACTGAGTTTTTAATGGTTTGAAACTGAGGTCTGGGGCTTATCAGCTCAGTTACCCACCTAGCAATTTACCTTTAGTTAACAGACGTGTCAGACGAAGACTTTCCTGTTAGTTCTGGACATTTAATAATCAAAAATGTATTTTATATTTAAGCAAATGTGCAATTTGCAGGCGGGGGG